TTTTCTTATTAACCGTCGAACTCGAAAATCAAGAAACACTTCTGGACGTAATAAGGATGACGAAGAATCTTACCTTACAGTTCATGAAGAGACATTATGTGACATAGGAAATGAGCTATACACTAATTGCACACTTGTCCGGAAGGACAAGTGGAAGATTGAAAGGAATGGTGTCCTTCCAACAAGTGTATTATTCCAATAGAGGATTTAGAATTATCAGATAGCTAATTCTTCAGTAAGGTCAAGTGATCGGATTGCCTAGGTAAAGGCCACCTTCGATCAGTAATATTAATGTATAATTAATATTACAGCTTAATTTGGCTAAACCCTTCGGGTCACAACAAATTGAGTAATTGATGCAAGACGACGAATCAATCCGAAGCATTAGATAAGTCAATATAGTATTACGAACAAAGACGTTGGATATCGAGTGTGCTATGCGTCTGTGTGTTGTGGCTGTGCGTGCTTGCTAGCATTGCATCACCATCCACAAGCAAGCAGCCGTTAGGCCTCGTTAGCACAGCGCACAACACACGTAGCAGTTGCAGCCTGCATTGCATGTGTGGCTTGCGTGCTTCGCGCATACGGGTGCGAGCTGGCCAACCAGCCCAGCCTTGGTGCTAGGCGCCAGCTGAGCAGCCTTGGCTGTTAAGGTGGGCAGCTTGTCAGTTGTGCGTTGGAGGCCAGCTCACAATTATTGGTGGGGACTGGTTCTTGGGGATTGGTTGAGGAGCGAGGGGTTTAGGTCCCCCCCTAAATCGTCCTCACCTACCCTTGCCCACCATATGCCACTTGGAGCTTGTTGATTGATTTGCAATTTAATTTGTATTGGATTAAAATAAATTGAGCAAAAATGTAATTCTCCCACATTGATGGGGAATGGGAAATCAAGGCTCCTTTCCCTATAAATACCCATGTTTTGGGTTTGGAAAAAAGCACTTGAGTTGAACTCAATAAGGCATCTCATTATTAGTGAGAAAACCTTTTAGTTCGTAATACTCTAGTTTTTCTTTGGTCTTGCCCCGACTAACCTTCGGGGTAGAGACCGCTCGGGTCGAGTTGAGGGTGCGAGCAATTGGAGGTTTAAGCACTTGCGAAGGTAGTGCTTTCATGTAAGAGCTCGTAAGCGAGCGAAGCACTCGTCTAGGGTAAGATTGTCTTTTCTCCTTATTTATCTAGTTGTTTAATTATGTGATTGCATATTTAGTTACATTACTTAGTGTGCGGGTCTTAGGAGGGTTTCATTCCGCGTATTGTCGGACACTACAAAACCTAATAGTCGCATGTTTGCACTCGCATGGCCTGCTTGGAACACGCAGCAGCCCACTAACTAGCGAGGCTTGCTGGTGCTTGCGGGAAAGGCCGTTGGGCTTGCAGCAAGCCACCCAGCAGCGCATAGAAGCCTAGCTAGCTAACGGTGGGCTTGCGGTGCGTGGAGGCTGGCCCAACCGAAGTCACGAAGGCCTTGACCAGCCATTCCTTATTGCCCAAGAATATTCACCAGTTTTATCTTATTATGATTGATGAGTTTGGTGGCTTGTGGAACAAGGAGGCCATGTTGTACGTGGGTGTGAGCTGTTAGAGGTTTTCGCACTTGCAGAACTTGAAGCTTTCAAGTCCAAGGTCATCGATTAAGCGAAGCACGCTTCTAGAGTGAGTATTCTATCTCTGTATTCTCTCTCTTCTCTTGTGTTTTTGTTTATTTGCATGATTTTGTTTATGTTGTAATTATTATGCATGCGATCAGGTTATCAGCTTTTGTTTCCGCACAGTGTCGGACACCGCAAAACCTAACACCCTTTACTTATTTAGAAAGTTTGGTATTCATTTGTATTAGTTCATTTGCAAAGTCCATTCATGAGCATTTGTTTTCTTTCTTTTTTTTTTATTTTCTTTTTCATGCTTTGCCTTGTTTATTTGGTTTGTGAGAGTTGTGGGTTAACCTCTTGGGAAACCCTCAAAAGAACATACTCGTCCTCTAGGGCAATCTAGGGGTTTAAAGGGCTTGTCTTTAGTTGCTAAAATTGACCGTGATTCCTACGAGAGTGTGTTATTGTACATTCTCATCTTCTTTAGTGTGCTAGTCTTGCTTGAATAAATCATTATCCTTCTGTCTTTTGTTTTAATCATGCTCAAGGACGAGCAAGAGTTAAGCGTGGGGGAATAATGTCATTTATAACACATTTTTGGGTGGTTTTCTCTCTTAGTTAGGTTTATTTTGGTCTATCTTGGTTATTTCTAGTCCTTTTAGCCTTGTTAAAGTTAATAATGTCTTAGTTTATGTTTTTAGGCCTTAGTTATGAATAATGCGCCTATTGCTCGGTTTCTAGCTTTATTTGCGTGCTTTTTTATGTGATCCTTCACTCTTTTCTCTCTTGGTCTATTTGTGTAGGTACTTGGCACTTTTCTCGATGTTGATGACGCTAGAGAAGGCTGAAATAATTCAATAGAAGAATATTTGAAGCAAAGACGAAGCTAAGATGTTGAGCATTTGCAGCGCTTAGGGCTAGAACCGGTGCCCGAGCATACCTCCGCACAACACAGGCACCAAGCAAGAGCAAGTAGCACCTGCAGTGACACGGTGGTGCTTGTCGTGGTGCGATAGACCTACCGTGACACAATGGTGCTTGCCGTGGCGCTGCAAACCTGCCGAAGCGCGACAACCCTAAGCCACAGCGGGTGCGGCTTTGTTCACCGTGGGTGCGGTACTTTATTGTCTAGATTTTTACTTTGTTCCTGTAGATGCCAAGGAGATGGCGCGATTGCAACCACCGTGGGCGTGGCCGTGTGGTGCTCGGGCGCGGTTTTTTAGGTTTTCTTCGCATTTAATTTTCGATTTTTCACCTTTTTCTTCTTGTATTATAAATAGGGGTTGACCCTATTTTGTAAGGGGACTTTTTGGGCAGAGTTTTACATTTTCTCTCCCCTCTAATGACGATTACGCTTAGATTAGGAGTTTCTCTCTCTAGTTTAGGAGTAGTTTTAGAGAGAGAAAGCTAGGGATTTCAATGGAGAATTGAGAGCTTGAAGAAGTAATTATGTGCATTCTCTTCTCAATTATTCAATGAGCATTTCTCGCTTTCTCTCACCTTTATTGATTTCTTTAATTCTTGTTTCTGCTTAATTTTTTGTTGATTAGATTAGATAATTAGATTAGTTGTTTGATTCTTGCTTTAATTCTTGTTTTACCTTGTTTTGCATGTTTTTCTTCATTATGATTGCTTAGATTTTGTTCTAGGGAGATGGATTAATGTTATGTTGATGAATTGAATGATTGATTGTGATTAGTATGCAATTGATTCTTGATTATTGTGTGTGGATGATGTTTTCATTGCTTAGATTCTTTTTAGCTAATTGATTCAAGGTTTCTAATTGTGCTTTCAATCAATTGTGCGGAAGTGAGTTGATTGAGAGTCTAGATTCTTCTATACCTATTCTAGGCTGGTTGCCCGAGAGTGAATTAGCTTAGTAGGATAATTAATATGCTTAATTGCGTGGAAGTGAGTTGAGTGTGTTGATTATTACTTATTGAGATCATGATCATCTTAATTGTAATTTGTTGTTGAAGTTATTAATGTAATTGGATTCCCCTTTCCCTAGTTATTTTTTATTGCTTTAAGTAGTGTTTTAGTTTTTCCTCTCTCTATATCACATCCTTCCTACTAGTTTGATTAGCGTAAATTGGTACACTTAGTCCCACTACTACATTTTCGATCAAATACAACGCCAAAAAATGAGCTATTGCAACGCCTTATCCAAATGCCGTGGCAATAGATAGCCTATTGCAACGGTATTTTTATTGCCGTTGCAATAGAGTGGGCTATTTCCACGGAGTTAAAACTAATGCTCTTAGAGGTAGAGCTATTGCCACGGCTTTAAAGAACCGTTGCAATAGCCTAGATATTTTAACAAAAATGAAAGCTAATGCAACGGTAGTGTTGTATCATGAAAATTTTAGCTAGGTTGAAGCGCGCATTGTTCCCTCTAATTTTTTCACCAAAATTTTGAACAAACACGTTTTTACTTTTCTCACCCATTTTCTCCACTCATTCTCACAGTATCCATTCTAACCATATTTCTCCATTTCTTCAATATCCCCCAATCCTCCATTTTCTTAATTTCCCCCAATTCTCTAGTTTCCCCATCATCATCTCACATAAATAAGCAACGTAAAACAAAAATTCTGAGGCCGATTTTGAGGTGAAAATCACGAAAAAATTCATTCAAAAATTTGATTTTTTTCGATTTCTAAGGTTTCGACTTGTAACTGTTGGCGGTGGTGGAAAGCAACGATGGTGAGTTTTGATTTGTAATTGATGGCGGTGGTGGAGTGTTGCTGAGCTAACGTCGCTCAAACTCCAGCTTCGTGCCCTGATCTTTGAGTAAGCCTTCTATCTATATCTCTTATTTTTCCTTTTTCTCGCTAATTTCTCTCCCTTTTGAATTATTGTTCCAATTTCAACAATTATACACTTAAAAAGTTTCAATCAATTGACAATTTAATGTTAATAAGGAACATCATCATCGTCCATGGTAGTTGGTGAGAGTGATTTGCTAATTGTTGGACCTGGTGTTCTTGGTCGCTTGGTAGCTCAACAATGGAGTCAGGTATAATCTCTATTTCTATTGTATTTCTACCTCTATTTCTTTCGTTTGTAAAACATTTAATTCCTCGAGAACTGTCAGGTTAATTTCTTTCATTTGGGATTCTCGCCTTTATGTTCTTGCCAGGTTCCTTCTTTTATCTTTAATTTCTGATTTTTAGTAGATTTTGTTATAAATTTTTTATCATATTGTTAGTATTTGGTTTGATTATTGGAAAATTAGTTAATTTTAAACTTGCAAATAAGTGTGCTTTTGGTTGTTTTGTTGGTTATGGTAATACAAATGTTATGGTATAGGTAATGACAGTAGATTACTATAGTTGGTGTTATAATGTCTAGTAACTGGTGCTTATAGACGATTCATGTTGGAATTGGTTAAGGGCGTTGCGTTTCTTTTTGGCGCGATAGAGCAAAATAGTATATTGATACTTTGGAAATGAGCATGGTTACTACTTATTGGTATATTACAATTTGGAAAAGTTGAACTATGTGTTTGGGGAATGGGGTGCAATGGGATTGGGGTCTTGATAGAAATTCTGTACGAGAACATGACACTTGAAGATGAAAATGATTTAATTCATTATGATTCTAGCTAAGCCTTGTCGAAAAAAAAGTGTATTGACTGTAATTTTATTTAAGGGACGGTATAGGATAAACGTACAAGGTTGATTAAAAATTATTGAAAATAAGTCGAATTTTAGAACAGAGTTGAACACAGTTCTTTGTTAGCATCAGAGAAGAGAGAGAAAGATGAATGCTCCTGATCGATATGAGAGATTCGTCGTTCCTGAAGGCGTCAAGAAGTAATTATCTCAATCTTTATCTTTTCCCACTTTGTTTTTTCAGTAATAATCACAATTTATTTATTTGTTATTAATTTGATAATTGCTGTTTTTTGTTTTAGGGTTTCGTATGAGAGAGATACGAAGATCATCAATGCTGCCTCTTTTACCATTGAGAGAGAAGACCACACCATTGGCAACATCCTCCGCATGTAATTAATTATTTTCCCAATTGCTAATTTCATAAACCCTAATTTGATCGATTTTGTTGATTGATTTTTTTGACATGGTATAGGCAATTGCATAGAGACCCAAATGTCCTTTTTGCCGGCTGCAAGCTTCCACACCCTCTTCAGTACAAAATTCTTGTTAGAGTCAGTTTTTTCTACTAGTATTACCGATTTATTATTTATTTTTTCTGCTTGGAGCTTAAATTTGAAGCTAATGTGGATAATTTACTTTTTTATGTTGTTATTATTAAGTTATTTAGCTCCTGTAGTATATTTTAGCGAATGTTTTCAGCTTAATGATTTATATGTAATGTTAGAGCCGAAATAAAGATGAGATATTTGATTCAAGGAGAATTATGAGCTCATGTACAATATGTGGATCTTAACCCCCAAGGTTGTCAAAGAGCGGAACTTGGGTTTGGCCAAGAGAATTATAGCAGTGGGAGTATTAGGGGTGCCCCATAAGATAATGATATTGGAGAATGCGGTTATTTTCTAATTATTGAGTTTATCGACAAGGCGTAATTCATTATGATTTAATTCATTATGATTCAAACTACAGCTTACCTCTTAATGTTGCCTTGATAACCCTTCAGGTACTTGTTAATTCATTACGATTCTGGCTAAGCAACATCTTGTTTTGAAAATGATTCTGAAAAGCAGCTCCTAGGATCTCTAAGGAAAGTACGTGTGTTTTCAAGCTTGCCTTTCAAGACTTGTCTAACTGATGAATGCTTAACTTTGCAGGAATTGAAAGATAAATATGTACTACTCCGCTTAGCACATCTCTATGAGGTAAAACCTCTGTTTGCCTTTGCCCTTAATTCTTCATTTACTTTCATTTGAATCAGACCAATTTTTATTTTTTTTAGCTCTCTTCCTTGCTGCCATCTCCTATAATATCTCTGAACATAAGTATCTCAAGTTTGCATACTGAGGTCTGCCAGTGTGGCCCTTATCTAAAGAGATGGGCAGACACTTAGAGCAACGATAACGCACACAAAAATCTTGAGAATATTAGATACACTCTTGAAGGTAGGGAAACTTTGACATCTACATTCGACCTATTGCAAAAGTTATAAATTTCTCTTGCACAAGAGATCATAAACCGGCTAGAAATATGGTGCACAACTGCAAATCAATATTGTTTTTGGACTTTCCCTTTGAAGTAGCAGTTAACTATTAAATCCTCCCACTGAACTGAATATTTCTGTATATCCAACCATTAAATCAATTCATTAAATGCAAAAAAGGGCATCCTCAGAATAGAATTAGAGTTAATATAGAGTTTCCAGGCTAGTCTGACATGATCCCCTAGCTTGGATACAGAGCATGATGTGATTAGATTATGAAGGGCTCTAAAGCGTATAATATAAGTAAACTATGAATGTAGGAAGTCTTCAATTTTCACAGTTACATATTTAAGGCCTTACTTTCTTCCAGAGGGCACCAATTGGAGGAAGTAAAGCTGCTGCATTTGATACTACCAAAAATAAAATCTGAAGCTTCTGCTCTGCATTCTATTCAAGTTGGTTTTTTAACAGGAAAAGATGATAAAAGACAATACAAAACAAATTAAAAGGGAAATTATATGTCTGCTTGGTTCCTACCAGATCTCGGTACTACTTCTATGCTGCAATCAAACCCACCATGGAAAGTATCACATTTACAGAAGCTGAAAAATCAGCGAAGGAAAATGTGAAAATCTTAACAGAATATGGAAAAGTAATGCAGAATAGTTCTGAATTAATATATATGTATAAAGAACATAAACATGAATGAACAAAGCAGACCTAAAAGATCTCAAAGCATCAACATCTAGCAACATGTGAATAATTATCCTCTATTATTGATCTTGACTTTATTGTTTGTTGTAGCCACTACATCCTCCGGGTATTTTTTTACTTCTTTTTTTTTCATTGAATTATATATGAGAAAAGAGGAATGATGGATGTTTATCTTCTTTTTTGATTCTGAATTCTTGAAATTGGATTGTGTTTTTATAAGGTTTTTGGGTTTCTTTGATATATGCAGGTTGTAGGCTTGTTGGCTTATGTTGTTCTATGTTGCTATCTGTGAGCTGCTGGGTGTTGTTTATACTATTGACAGTCCTGCTAGCTGCTTGCTGGTCTCTGTTTGGTTGTATGTGGGGCTGTTAGGTGCAGGCTACTGTCATGTAGGTTCTATTGGGCTGCCTAGTTGTTGTTGTTTTTTCTGCCTGTCTCTGCTGTTCTGAGCTGTTGTAGGGTTGAAAAAGGCATCCTGGTTTGGACTTGCTTTTCCCTGTTTGCTTCTAGTTTGTTACCTAGTTTTCGTTGCTGTCTTGTTCTGGTTTTGGCTGGTTAATGCTGCTATTGTTCCTTTTACTCCTGTTGTTCTGCACTGTCAGCTACTGTGCTGCTTTCTGCCTGGTGCCGTGCATGCTTGGTTCTGGCTGCTGATGCCGTTCTGCTGAGCTTGTTGATGTTGGGACAACTTGCTGTGTTGCTGGTCTCTACTGCTGCTGTTCACCTGCTGATGTTGGTCGCTTGCCTCTCAAAGATCGTAGTCGTTGTAGTTTTCTCAATTAATTTAATTAGTGAAATTTGATTTTGTAACTTTTCCCTTTAAGGGCAATAATGTACATATTTCGCATTATAATTATTATATATAAATGATACTTTAATTTTTTTATGTTAGCATATTTTAATTTGTACTGACTAATTATACATATATTATATTACCATCTCATCCCAACAAAAAAAAATATTGATCAATCCGTTGTAGTAGATACGTACTCCTATCATTGTATTAATTAGCTTCATCCGTTGCAATAGGTTCAATTTCATCATAATTATTAGTCAGTACTCTATTGCCACGGATAAGTTATGCCGCTGCAATAGGTATTGGTCTATTATCACGGATCATTGGTGTCGTGACATTAGGTGTCATATGCCGTTGCATTAGACCTATTGCAACGCCAGCATATGCCACGGTACATGGCCGTTGCATTAGGCCTAATGCCACGGATTTTGACGCCTAATGCAACGGATTTGGGGGTTGCAATAGATCAAAAATGTAGTAGTGTCCTTGTGGTTCGACTCTGAACTTGCCTCTAGGCTTGCTTAGTGGTTATTTAGGAATTTATAAATATTGTTTGATATTAGGAGGTAAGTCAACGACCTAACCCTCACCTACTTATCAAGTTTCACTTAAACTAACGCATATATTTAATATACCTCACTTTCCTAAGAAAATGATGATGCCTTATTTTGGCATAGCTCGTCAACGATTTTCGAAGTTTTAGCAAGTGTTATTTTAGAATGGTAATTTTAACTCAATTTACTTTGGGACTTAGGGTTTCTATGTTGGTTTGATTTAAGTGATTTTAACTAATCATTCAACATTAGAAATTCTGTAGGCATGCATCTAAATATTAAGATATAAGCAAATAAATAGACAAATGAATGCATAGTGAAATAATATGGCCCCTTGAAAATTTACCTTGAAGCATCCAATCTTCAATCCTCATGGACACCTTGGCCCCTTTAGCTCCGTCTTCAAAGAAATGTCGTCCTTTGAATTCAAAATTATGAATGCAAGTATTAGAACTATGAATTAATCTAAAATAAATAAGTACAAAAATACTTAACGGCACGCAATCTGTATTTAGATTTACAAAAATACTTAATGGATCGCTGTCCATAATTTCTATCCTAGTTGGGCTATACTAGTCACTTTTTGTAAAAACCTGCATAAGAACATTCCTAATATTCCGTTCACCATCACTTATAAAATTAGTGGCCCATGCAATTGTTACAAGTAATACAAGCAATAACATAAAGCCATGTATCGATAAAAACGCGTACTAGTTACTAACTTAGGTCGTTAATCTCATAAACAAGCCTAATTAAACTTGTCGAGTTATTTAAGCAATTATGTGATAAAACGCACTTACTAATCATACAAAATTCTTTAGACGCTCAAAACCGATTAATGGCGCTCCCACTAAAACCCGCATCCATATTAATTAAATTAATCGAATTAAATTTAATTAAACGAATTAAGTCAACTTTGTTAAAAATACGTAATTCGGTGAAAACCCCGGGTCGTGCCTCGTTTTTATCAAAACCAGGGCACTAGCCTTGGCTATTCCTTGCCACACATGTATAATAGCGCACACCTAGCCGCACATTCACACACGCGGTCGCACAACACGCCTAGCATGCTTGCGGGTTACTTGTGCTGGTAGCGTGCTTGTGTGTGTGCTATGCTAGCTGTAGGTGTTGCCCAACAGCCTTACACTTGAGGCATCACCACACATGCCCCCTTCGCTGCACTTCTCACGTACACACGAGCACCACCCTCAATAGCAGCATTCATATGGGTTGCGCGAGTTGCCCCTGCTGACTAAGAGGTGCAATTGAGGCTCCAAGCCTTAATTTCTTGCAAGTTTCAGGATTTTTAATCCCGAAAAATTCTTGTGACATTATTTAATTCCAAATCCAATTTTGAATATAAATTTGAGCATTTTGAATTAACTTTAAATCCAACTAAAATTAATCCATGTAGGTGCAACATATTTGAACATCCAACATAAACCAAGTCACTTAAAACAATCCAATTGCATATTTAAATAAGTTTAAGTTTTTGTGGAATTTTGAGCACTCCAAATTAATAATCCAAAAATTACCAATTCCATGCATTAAAAGGAGTATAAGTGCAGAAGATTAAACATGAAATCACTCACATAATCAACATACATATGCCATAATTAATTTAGGTCTAAAGATTTAAAACTTTCTCATTCCAAACAAAAAAAAAACCCTTTGTAAAACACGTTTCTAGGTGGATTTTGGCTTTTGGAAGCCCTTTTTTTAACACTTTGGGGATAAAGAATGCATTTTCCAACCAAAATTCACTACTTTTTCGTCAAGATCTAGGTTTGTTAGCATAATTAAGCAATAATCCGATTTTATCCAATAAAACCGAAACCCTAATCTAATTAGGTGCTAATCTAGATTTTAAATCCCCTTAATTAATTTAGTCGTAAAAATTAAACACCGTGCGAAAACCAAACCCCGCCCCGAACCCATGCATAATTAATATGAAAAAACAAAACATAAATACATAATCACATAATTAAGAAGATAAGGAATTATAACCTAGATGTGTGCTTGACCTCCTCACAGGCAAGAACCTCGGACACCTCGGTTACGACTATGGAGCAAGAACCACAATTGCAGTTCCTCACACAGTATCCACCCACGCACCCAAACGCAGCTAGACTAATTACAACACAACTTAAGAGATTTTATACTCGAAGGTATTCTCACAATTAGGCGGAGATCCCTAAGAGTCCAACTCTTTTACAATTCATGTCAATAAACTAGGGAAGGGGTAGTTGAGGACCACAAGGTCCCCTTTCTCCCCAAGCAAACCGGGCACCCTATCATCGCAGGCTAACTAGCTGCCTTGCCTAGGGCACGTTGAAAGGCGCGCCTAGTTGGCGGCCTGGTTCTTGGTTGGGCCTGGCAGCAAGCCCGTGCTGTTGTTGCCCCGTAAAAAGGCCTTGCACGCATTAGCAAGTTGTTGTGCATGCGGGTGCTTTGGCCACTAGCGAAGCTCATCATGCCTTGCTAGCTGCTTGTGTTGCTTGAAAAGAATGGTGTCCTTCCAACAAGTGTATTACTCCGATAAAGGGTTCAGAATTATTAGAAAGAAAATTCTTCAGTAAGGTCAAGTGATCAGAATACCTAGGTGGAGGCCGCTTCCGATCAGTAACATTAATGTGTAATTAATATTAAAGCTTAATCTTGACTGAACCCTTCGGGTCACACCCAATCGAGTAACCGATCCGAATCAACGAATCAATTCGAAGGATTAGATAAGTCATTAGAGTATTACGAACAAAGACGTCAGATATCAAGCTTAGAGCATCGAGGACGAGCGTCCCAAGTCGAGTCAAATTTCAGAATTCAACGAGACGGGAAATCAAACAAGCGACAAGTTAAAGCTAAGCTGTAGCCTCGCATTTGCCTAGCAATGCGAGTTCTAGGCTAGCTCAAGATGCCATGGCAATCACTAGGCATACCGAAAGAATTCTAGCAAGGTTGGTGCACAAGGCCGCAAGCATACTAGCAATTAGCGCATGCTAGTGTGCTAGTGTGCTGAGCCACACACCCAACTACATCATCGCTAGATCAAGCACAGCAGAAGTGCGCTATGCGTACTGTGCTATGGAGATGTGTGCTAGCATAGAAGCATCACGCATCGCAGCCTCCCGTACACAGCCATGCATCGCAGCATCACTTAGCATCACAGTGTGATATATGCTGTGGCTGTGCATGCTATGTGCTGAGGCTAAGCGTGCTTGTGTACTGGGCAGCGCCTAGCACAAGAATCAGTTGCCAGGCAGCGCCTAGCGTACACCACATAGCAGTAGCAGCCCGCATTGCATGCGTGGCTTACTAACTGCATGCATGCGTATGCGGACTAGCTAGCCAGCCCAGCCAAGGTGCTAGGCGCTAGCTAGGTAGCCTTGGAAACTAAGGCAGGCTGGCTACAAGCTTTGCATGGGCTGCTCTTGAGTTTTGGTGGGGACCGATGCTTGGTGGCCTTGCTTGGGGATCAAAGGGATTTTTGGTCCCCCCTTAGTGGTCCTCATGCCTATTGTAGCTTGTTGATTGAATAGAATTTTATTTTGTTTTTGATTAAAATAAAATAGAGGAAAATGCAAATCTCCCACATTGATGGGAGAATGGAGATCAAGTCTCCATTCCCTATAAATACCTAAGTTTTGGGTTTTTGGAAGAACACTTGAGTTGAACTCAATAAGGCATCTCCCTATAGGTGGGAAAACCTTTAAGTTCGTAATACTCAATTTTTTTCTTGGTCTTGCCCCGACTAACCATCGGGGTAGAGGCCGTTCAGGTTGGGTCTCGAGGGTGGACTCCATCAGAGGCTTTCGCGCTTGCGGAGCTAAGGCTTTGAAGTCCAAGCTCTATGGAAGCAAAGCACGCGTCGAGGGTAAGAATGTCTTTTCTCTTTCTCTCTCTTATGTTGTTAATTATGTGATTAAATATTTAGTTGCTTTAATTAGTGAGCGGGTCTTGGGCGGGTTTCTCTTCCGCATAGCGTTGGATGCTACAAAACCCAACATTGCTACCGCCGTTAGCTCTTATGGCTTCTCGGGCAGCATGCCTTGCTTGTGCAAATGTGCGGCCTGGAAGTGTAGATAACTGATTGTGTCTCCCCAAAACCAAACCAAGTGATGAGTACCTTTCACGTTTTGATTGATGAGTTTAGTAAAAAGTTGAAGAGTCTCGCAAAGTTTTCTTAAGCCTTGACCATGTTTCTAACCTTACCCAAAATGTTTTTAATCAAAATTATTTATTTCGTGTCTTTAAACCAAAAATCATTTATTTCGTGACCTTAAAATCATTCATTTCGTGTCCAATTCATAAAAACGTCCAAACCAGACTATTTTGGTCCATAATCCCAGTCCAATTATAGCTTAGTTTGATGGGGTTTGAAAAGAGATCCAACGATATATTATAAGCCCAAATTCGACTTAAAACGAAAAAGTTATGGTCCAAATACTAAACTGAGCCCAAACCGAGCCCAGATCTAACTTAGCCAAGGCCCAATGATTTTATGGGGTCCAAATACTTTATTTAGGCCCTATATGATCATATTTCCAGTCCT